CCAACACTCAATGTGCAGCATATATATATATATATATATATATATATATATATATATATATATATATATATATATATATTATAATTATTTTTAAAAAAATATGATTCCTTCGCCACATAAGAGTTCTCATGTTTCAAAAACAAGAGACAAAAACCTCAATATAATTATTGAAATTAAATTGAATTAAAGTATCAAGCCCTGTTTCATCCTCTAGCGAAAATTTAGGAATGACCAATCTTGAAAATTACAAGTCTTTATAAGCATGTTCATTCGCTAAAATAGCTCTCAGGGAAACAGTAATTGGCAAGGGTGTTCCACAGGCGAGAGGTGCGAGGTATGTAGCTATTGGAGTAGAAGAGACGGCTACATTTAAAAGTTTCTACAGTGTAAGGGTGGGAGCGGGATGCCAGCCTCGTAGGGCGCTTGAATTCATGGAGTCTGGGAACCAGTGAAAGCAGCTCATCGGAGCAATTACCATGAAAATATTTGTAGAAAAGACAGAGAGAGGCGACGGCGCGTCTGTGAGAGAGTGACTGTAGGCAAGACGCCAGATCAGGGCCAATTATATTACATATCCGTCTCTGGATCTTGTCAAGAACTCCGAGGTAAACGGAAGGTGTCCCAGACCATATATGGCAGCAATACTCCATGCAAGGGCGAATGGTTGATTTGTATATTTGAAGTACCGATTCCGGGGAGAAAAATTTCCTGGCGCGGCACAGAGAGCCAACTTTCCTCGCGGTGGAAGAAGCAATTGACTCAATGTATTTGTTCCATCTCAGGTCAGCAGTCAACGTGAGACCGAGCAGACGCAGGGAGTTGCTCTCAAGAAGTTGACTATCAGACATTCTAATGGGGTGCAGGGAAGGATCTCTATGGTGAATGATAGAGAGTAGTTTAGTTTTTGAGGCGTTAAAGTTGACCAAACGCCTGAATGACCATTTTGATAAGGGGCATAAGCGTTAATTTGCATCCACATATCAGTCACCTTCGGAAGGAGGTCAAAAGAAAGAAAGTGGGCCGAGGTGTCCATTTCAAAACGAATCACGGTGTTCCAATAAATTGGACCGATTTTAAATGTGACTTAATTTTAAACGTCTTATCATTTTTTTTTCTTTTTCTTTCAGATTGAACAACTGAAGTGTTTGGCAATTTCAACCATGGAAAGATTAACAATCAAACAGCGTGTTAAAGTCATCGTAGCCTATTACGAAAATGACTTTATTAAATGAGAAGTTCTCAGATCACATCACTCTCGAAACAGCGAAATCAACACATACACCCTCACGCACACACACACACACACACACACACACACACATATATATATATATATATATATATATATATATATATATATATATATATATATATATATATATATATATATACATACATACACGTATAGGATTCGTGTATACGAAATAAATTCCCCAAAAACACCAATTATTATTCTTAAAAGAGTGCTCAATACAGAGTAGACCAAATATAATTATTTATTCGAAAATTATAACATAAATATGTTATAATATATATATATATATATATATATATATATATATATATATATATATATAATTATAATAAAATTATAAATATAATTATGTTATAAAATCAGTCCAAAAATAGCCATGTTGTTTCAACACTTCTGGTTTCTTATCAAGTGATGCACTTGTATATAGACTAAACACTTTATTCAACATTCAACGCTATCACTTGATAAAACACCAGAAATTCTGACAAGATGGCTATTCTTGTAGTGATTTTATAACATAATTATGTTATAACATAATAATATATATATATATATTATAACATATTCATGTTATAATTTTTCGAATATATATATATATATATATATATATATATATATATATATATATATATATATATAATGCTTTTTAGTGAAAATATTGTGACGACAAAGCTAATCTTGATATGACTGTAATTATAAAAAATAATCCGATAATCGCATTCTGCAATAGAATATTGTCCTTGTTCCAGACTAAAATGATGAAATAAATAAACCTTGTGATGGACCCAATATTATATTTTATGCTGTCAAATATAGAACACAAATATGAAACGACAGAATAGCACAGGTTTTAAGATAACGTATGCCACTGAGTCATCACAGTAAATTCCTGAGAATGTATTTTCTTTTACACATTTCCTTCAGACGTTTCTTTGGCTTCGACCCTGATATTTCCAATCGATCTTTTCTGTGTAAAAAGAGGAAAAAAAAATTTCCTTCACGCTAACGATAACAAATCCTAATCATTCAATTCTTGCTCTTATCCGTCTTTCCCTCATCCTTACACATGTGAACAACTGAAGCTGACGTGATTCGCTGAGGATAATCCAATACCCATTTTAGAAAAGAAGCTTTATTGCGTTTAGTACGATGGTGAATCAAGAAGGAAGTTTGAAATCACCGCGAACATTTTACTTACAGAAAATCGACAAAAGGTTTACGCACAGAGGCAGGCACCCACACAGA